TTCCCCAGAGYAGCTGTGGCTGCCCCATCCTTGTRGGCATCCAGRGCCAAGCTGGATGGGATTTGGAGCAACCTGGGATAGTGRAAGGTGTCCCTGCCCAYGGATSTRGGGGTTGGAACTGGATGATCTTTAAAGACCCCTTCTCCTTTAAAGATTGCTACCAGCCCAAAYTATTCCATGATTCTGTCATTTTATTATTCATCTCTCTTTTCGAGATTGACAATATTAGCTCAAGATAAAAATAAGTATTTATTCTTGGTAATCAATGGTGACTTCAGAAAATGGTCTGATCAAGGAACTGCTTTCACCAGGCTGTCTCAAGATGCTTTCACTCATAATYTCAGTGCTTGCCCCATTGTCTCACAAGGAATATTTTTCACTCTTGATTGCCACAAGTCCTTGCTCCACCTGGATGTAGTGCCTGCTCTTAAACTGATGCATGAACCTCATTTCAACTGCTACAAGAGCAACTTCAAACTTAGAAATGCCAGTGTGTAGCACAGGGCTTTGCTTTACAAACATTCCTCTGTTAATGAAATTGGAAAAGTTCAGAGAAGGAATTTTCCATGAGTAATTCCTCATGTAAGCACTACTTAAAAGTCCCTTTTCTCAAATTCGCTTTGACAGCTGCTTGGGAAATAATAACAATAATAATAATAAATCTTAGTCTTATTTCAGTATCAACAGAGTGAACATCTGCAGGTTCAAGCACTGGAACCCAAATTCCTGGGTCTTCATCCAGCGTGATGCTCTCTGCTACCTTGTGGCTGGAGCACACCCTCCTGGATAGGGAACAGGACTCAGCCTGTTCAGACACCTTCAGAGGACACTGACAAAACTCTGATGCCGTTAGCCAAAGGGAAACACCACTTTGTGGTATCTGTGTATTTCCCAAACCTTCAAAGCCTTTTTTTCCACCTGCTGCTTCTTATCTTAGAGCCGGATTGCCATTTCGGGGAAAGGGGGCTGGATCTTCACGAAACATTTCCACARCACCCCGTGAAACGGTGATGGGATCTCTGGGGATTTCTGAAGAGCTGATAATTAATCTGACAGACTGCTCCATGTAGGGGCTGTCAATCAAGTGTGAACAATTCCCATCCCCTCTGTCAGACTCTCACCACACCATGGAGCTTTTGCCAGGTTTTCAGCAGCTACAGCAGAGGGGAGAGGGAACTGCCATGGCCAGGAGGAGCAGCCTGAGCCAGCYCCCTGCACAGGCAATAGAGGCAGTCCCCTGGGGCAAGTTATTGCTGCAGGAGGACAGTGGGAAAATGAGTGACAGGAAGTAAAAGTTGATGTGGCCCCGAAGATTTTGCACCTTTGAACATTTCAGTGTAAGGTGACAATCCACATTGCACTTCCTGCATCTCCCACGCTTCCCAGAGCTTTCCCACCCCAGCTGATGTCGAACTCTCCTGCCCTGCCTTTGTAACTCACCTGATATGCGTGGTCTGAGACACCCAGATTTAGAGGAGTTTTGGGATTGGTGAAGCTGATGCTCTGATTTTAGGTTCAGAGCTATTGAGGACATACAGTAAAGGACAAAAGCTGTGGGTCTGATCAGATCTCCTACAGATCTCCCTGTTGCCATGAGCTGCCCTTCTGAATAGTTGTGTAAAATCCATCATGAGCCACAAAAACAGGGCATGTGTGAAAGAAATGAAAACAGARGTTAATGAAAGAYTGAGTGCWCAGACAGCATGAGAAACAGTGGGTGAAGAACCCTGAGGAATAACCACTGTCTCCATCAAAAAAAAAAAGCAGTGTGCTGATTGAACCAGCAATGCTCAAACTGGATAATGAAAAACTGTGAATCATGCAAAAAAACCCAGTGCTCATTTCGCTGCCCTGCAGTTGTAACACAAAGGTTTTCCAAGAGATAAATATTCCTACCGTGATGAGTGATCTTTAAGTCAGCAGCTACGTYCCTCCCTTGAAAAAGGAAGTGATGGAGTGCTGTTAGCACTGTCTTGTGCTTCTTTGATTCCAGCCCTATAAATATTTCCCTTGTCACTGGTGCTGGTCACTAGAACTGGCTAAGAAAATACTCTATGACAATCAAAAGAGCAGGAATTATAAGGAGTAGGTTTGGGCTTGGCACCCAGGACACACCGAGCCTTGAGGTCCAGCTCCTAGGAAGAATGCCTCTTTAAAATTAACCATGTTGTGGTTTTTTAATCACTTCTTAGTCTTGAATTAGTGAAGAAACACAACAATAGAAAAATAAATCTAACTAGGCTTTGAATAGACATTGTCTTGAGATGATGCATTCAAAGATTCATTATAGAATCACAGAATGATTTGAGATGGTTTGGATGGGATGGAAGGGACCTGAAACCCCACCCAGTTCTACCCCAGACACCTTCCACTGTCCCAGGGTGCTCCAAGCCCCATCCAACCTGGCCTTGGACACTCCCAGGGATCCAGGGGCATCCAAACTCTTCCACCMATCCTTCRGGCAAGAAAGAGGACACCTGAGTGSGAAAAAGAATTTTCATCATTGATGTTTCTTTCTTAGAGGAAGATGGAAAATGGATGGATTCTTTTAAATAGCTTATTTTCTATTTTTATTATGTYTAGTCAAAAGCACTGACTGATGTCAGGCAGTCTACTGAAATGTAAGATGAGAAAAAGAAAAGTATTTGAAAGGGGAACTTTTGTTAAGTGTTTATATGACACCAGTGCTTAACCTTTGGTCTTCAGAAAACCTGTCTTAAAATTTAAATAMTGGCACTTCAATTGATTCACATGGTCTTTGTGAAACAGCTCAAAGATTATTCACTGAAAGTCTCCGCAAGGACAAGCAGTGAAACACTAGAAATGAAAATGTGAAAGTCTTTCATTGAGGTTCTGGTTGTCAAACAAGAATTTAGAAAACTTGTAAGAGGACGAGGGACATTGCTGAAAAACCCTCATAGGTTACCTCTGTACACTCCTTCTCCTGTACATCATAAATAATACAGAGAAGAGAAGCTGAGTTGCATCCCTTTCCATCTTATCCTTTCATAAACAGAGAAAAGAGTGTAAAGATTTCCATAAATAGCCATTTTCTGCATTAAAATCTGCCTGTGGAGAATGTTTCTATMCTGGTTTCCAAAGAAAACAAGGACTTACACGATCCAACTTATGTGTGTATCATCTCATCTCTTCGTGTCCCCCTGACAACTTTTGAACCTGTTTCAACAAAATTTGTTAGAATTGTACACGTTTCATGAAAATTTACAGCCTGGGGGAAGACAGGGACTTGATTAGCTGCACCAGACAGAATAAGRGAGGCTCCAGTTACCCTTTATCAGAGTGAGGAGAATCTGTGTTGGGCAGAGACATTATTCATATCACARCTGTGGAAAAATCTTAAATTGGCACCCTCGTTCAACCAGAAAGTTCAAACCTGAGACACACATCCGCAAGAAACATGGTTTTGTTAATTCTGCTTCTCATGGAACAGCTTGTTCCCACTAACATCTCAGTTGAAGATATTAGCAAAGATGACGCTTCTTCCATTAAAACTGTAGCTTCCAAAAATCATCAGCTTTTGACAGARAAAATAAAAAAGCCTTTTAAGATTTTTTTTAAGACTGGTGACTCTTCTGGATCATCTACACAAACAAACTCCTGACACAAGCATATGTCTGCYTCACTGTGCTGAGATATGAGCGGGGAGTGTGTGGGTCAGCAATTCACAGCTCCTCTGAGTGCAGGCTGCRTGTCTCGTACACAAGAGGAGACACCAAAGTGTCCATGTTGGCTCTGGGAGCTCTTTTAAAAGCACAGCAGAAATGACCTAGCTTCTGTTCATCACATCTCCCAAATCCCCACAGTGGTCCAGAAAACTGGGTCCTTTATCCCACAGGCCCTTGGTGTTACTCAAGGCTTTTTTACATCTAAACAGGTTGTTGGTGTGTTGCCCTATAAATGCATTCACCTTTCATTTAYTGATCTCCCATAAAGCCTGTCACACTGCCCATGGCAACAAATTGGAAATTGGAACAGGATGGTCTTTAATGTCCCTCCAACACAGAGCACTCTGTGATGTCATGATTCCGCAGTCACTCTCACTCTGTGGCTCTCCAGCATTTCTGACTCCTGTGTCTCTTTCCTTTAGGAAGACGTGACCAGGATCCATCCTCAGCTACCAACACACCTCAGGCTGAAGCAGACTCGACTCTGTGAGAGGACAGGACCATCCCACCTTCTCCTGGTGAGTTCAGGCTCCCTCGTGTGTGTGGGTGCTGCTTTCTGCCCATGGAGGTGTCTCATCTGAGCAGGCTGTTCACCTCTCTGCAAGGCCAGATGCTTTCATTCAGGCTGGATACTCAATTCGCAGGGAAGGCAGTTTCCTCCCTGCTGCCTTTCAATGCAGTTCCTCAGCCATGCAGGGAAGCACAGCAAACCATGCCACTGGAGGTGACAGACAGACAGACAGRCAGACAGCACACTGGGTGAAGGATCCTTGTCTTGGCAGCACCATGAACACTTCCAGGCACTCAGTCCACCCTGTGGTCCAGACATGCTCAAGGGTCACTTTCAGGGGTTTTAAGGAGCAATCACTTCTCCAAATGGAAACCTATTTAGCTCATGGCAGGATAGAGGGGAAGAAAGGGTGGTACAAGAGCTGTACTGTAACTAAAAAGCTGTACTGTACTGTAACTAAAAACCACTTCTTTCTACAATTACTGCATGTGGATGGAAGTTGTGTGCACACACAACCTGCTGAGCTTCTGCAGAGCTTCTGCTCAGGGCTCTCTGTCCTCAGAATCACAGAATGGTTTGGGCAGGGACACCTCCCACTGTCCCRGGCTGCTCCCAGCCCCAATGTCCAGCCTGGCCTTGGACACTGCCAGGGATCCAGGGGCAGCCACAGCTGCTCTGGGCACCCTGTGCCAGGGCCTCCCCACCCTCCCAGACAGCAATTCCTTCCCAATATCCCATCCATCCCTGCCCTCTGCCACTGCCAAGCCATTCCCTGTGTCCTGTCCCTGCAGCCCTTGTCCCCAGTCCCTGTCCAGCTCTCCTGGAGCCCCTTTAGGCCCCAAAAGGGGCTCTGAGCTCTCCCTGGAGCCTTCTCTTGTCCAGGTGAGCACCCCCAGCTCTCCCAGCCTGGCTCCAGAGCAGAGGGGCTCCAGCCCTGGCAGCATCTCCGTGCCCTCCTCTGGCCTGGCTGCAGCAGCTCCAGGTCCCTGTGCTGTTGTTGCCCAGGGCTGGGGCAGCTCTGCAGGTGGGGTCTCACCTGAGCGGGGCAGAGGGGCACAATCCCCCCCTCGCCTGCTGCCCACGCTGGGGCTCAGCCCAGGGTGGAGTTGGCTTTTGGGGCTCAGGTGCACRTTGAGGGGTCAAATTGATCTTCTCTTGGCACGGTTTAATCTCTCGAAGGTTAAAGAGGACATGAGCATCGAGGTTCTTCCCTTCAGCACAGATTCCATGGGTGCAGAAACCTCAGGAGAAATGGGTTCACCTTTCAGTTCGTCCCTGAGAGGATCCAAACAGACTCACTCCTGACAGTGAGAGACCCCAGTCTGTGGCTGGTAATAGCCACATCTGACTTTTGGATTTTTTTTAGGAAAGGCCATGCCCAGCAATGAACATAAACAGTATAACATTCCAACCCATTCCCCTCCCTCTCTATCAAATACCAAATTATCATGTCAATAAAAGTCAAGAAGATTCTATTTAAATTATAAACTGCAAATATTGGCTTATTTTGAGSTAGTTGGTATGAATGAACGATCACRTTGAAAATTTCTTGTATTTTGGAAATACATTTCATCTGCCTTTGCACGATGGCAGCCAAGAAAATTTTGTTCAGATTTTCCAAGGTGATTCACTTCCTGGCTTCTAACAAACCTGGTAAATGTCAGGTGCCAAAACTTTCTTCAACAAGGCTTTTGAGCTAGAATGAAATTTCCATTCCAAAGAGTAAATTTAATAATTGTCCGTGCTACTGCTTTTCTATTTTTGGGTCTTCTTAAGAAGACCTCATAAGAAATAGATCAACTTGGTTGATATCTCCAGTACATTTTCAAACTCTTTGGTGAAATGTCAGTGATGCAGTCCTGATTTTGAAGGCCATTTAGGGACATGAACTTCACAGTTGTTGATGATGTCCTGTTTTTTCCTATTCATTCCATCCAACACTGCAGCACAGAGGCAACATTTGCAATGTTTTCAATGKTTTTTTTAACCCTTCTTTAATGCCCTTTCTGAAATCAATTTTAGCAGAGGTACTCATTTTTGGAATATGCTAACCATCTGTCTCCTGAAACTAATTTACAAATTGGAAGTCAAAAACACTGAGGTGCATAAAAACATCTGATGTCTTTTGTAACACTGATGGGTCTGAGGGGCAAAATCCTCTCAAGTGTGACAATAAAGCAGGTGAGTTGTGGTTTGAAGGTGGATACAGGTCACTCCACTCGAGAGAAAGGGGCAGCTTTGCAGCAAGAGCTGCAGCTCTCTGTGGGCACTCTTCACAGATTCCACTGCCATGTGCACTTGGCTTATTAATTAAACCGTATTCTTTACTGTTTTCAATACATTAAATTGAATGTGTCTAATGAATATCCAGCTGCACTCTTCTTTCTTTACACATGACAATTTAGAATCATAAATTGCACTCATTGCAACCCAGGAACATTTTGCCCATTATTTGGCTGCTGGTGATAATGTATCAGACRGCAATAATGACGGTTGATTTTCATAAGCTGTTCTAAATGGGAAGTGCTCAGAGCTACATGTTTTGATTAGCAGGCTAAGCAAACCATGACAGGAGAATCCTATTTACACTGACTGCTMAGGATTCTTTCACAAGGTGATTTATTTAAGCAGAGGGACAGTTTAAGTGTACCTGACCTGCCTCAGCTGAGCTCTAGATCATCTCAAGCTGGACACCTCTGACACATAAAGCACTTGAGTGATTGTCTAATCTGAGCTAGATAAGCAAAATCATATACTAGAATTTATTCTGTGCAAGATTTACCTGGAGAAGTAAAGTCTATTTTAATGCTGTAGGTGTAGAAGTTGAATCAGATGCAGAATATACTCTAAGAGAAGACAGTAAACAAGAAAAAAAAATATTTTGTCCCGGATGTATGTTTCTATGCCCTCCATTCCTTTTCCATCTCTCCTCCATCACTCTCTGCAGCAGCCTCGYGTCCCTCACGCCCTCCCTTCACTGCACAGCTTCACCTCTGTCATTTCACAAGTGCAATCCCTTCCTAGCACACCGAAAAAAACAGCAAACACACCCATGATCCGCCTTCACTCGGGCGCTCTGCGTTGTTCCTTCAGCTCCACCTATTGGCGTCCCGAAAAAAAATGAGCCAAAAAGGGGCAGCAGGTCCGGTCCGTGTGTCCTGAGCACATGGCACAGCCCTGCCCGCTCACACGGGTGACCCACGGCCGTGGTCTGGCTGTTTGAGGGACACGAGTGACCTCTGTGTGTTCAGCCGATCAGACAAAGATGTGCTCTATCTGTGGATATTAATTCTTTGGGCTGCAGCACAGAACTGTGCTTTAGTTAAGGAAAGATGAATGCAAGCCAGCCAAAAGGAAGAATTATCATCACCCTCATTACCAGGCTGCTTGGTTTGAAGGCTGTCCCAAAGCCTGTTGGAGGCAATMAGGATAAACCATAGAGAGGTGAAGAAATAAACATGGAAGAGCATAAAGCCACGTGAAATCTGAGCTCTTATTTGGCTCAAACTTACCACTGGAGTTTGACCTTGATTACAAAGTACTTTTTCACTTTAAGTATCTCTCAGTGTCTTTCACATGCAGCTTTTCCATGCTCATGCTTGAAGGAGTGTGTCAGGTAATCCCCATCCTACCTGGAATGGCAAAATACAMACCCAAATAATTGACAGCAAATAAGGTCACAGTGGAGGAAGATTCCACTTCCAGCAGAGTTACATTGCTCCAGTCCATCCTGGGGAGGTCACCCATGGCCCTGTGGTCAGAGAGAAGTGGTGGTGGCACTGAGTGACCTCAGGGGGTCTGAAACACTGAAATGATTCACAGATCTAAATAACTCCTGGACCTCTGGTTGGAAGGAAATTGTGAAGTGTTACATGTCATTTGGGAAAAAAAGGACTGGGAAACTTTTCCCTCAGCGATACATTTGGTTTAAAGTTGGTTTGGTAAGCAGCCTAAACTACTGGATGTGCTTCTAAAAGCATTTCTGGACATGACTCTGAGTGCTGCTTGCATTCAGAAACACACTCACAGCTCCGCTGGCATCCACGCATCACCGAATGCTCCCAGCCTGCAGATGGATGCTGGAAGTCACAGAGAAATGGGCATTTCCATCATCTCCAGCAGATAAAAACCAGAACCAGTTTCTGTGGTTCCAGAAACTGGAGGTGGAAGTGGAAGGGCAGGGGGAGATTAGGGGTGTTTTATTTCTGCCATCGTAATGGAAGATTTGGTCAGATRCATCCAGAGCAGTCAGAGACTGAGCAACACATCCATCACGGGGTTCTGAAGAGCAACATTATAGCTTTTATCTTCTCTCCTACATATCTGAAGTTTAAAAAGTAATTTGGCAAAYGTTTCTGGAGATAACCTGTCACCTGGAAGGTTTACAGCCTTGCTTCTGCTCTGCCCTGCCCAGAGAAGAAAAGGAGGTGTACAGATCCATCCCCATGAACTCAGCTGGGCTCAGGGGAGGGATGAACTTGGCTTGCAGCTTGCTGTGTCTGACATGAGCTATGAGAACTAATAGGATGTGGTCCAGCTCGAGGCTGTGCAACAGCAGAGGCAAGAATTGCGTGCAGGCATCTCAGGAACGAGAGACAGARCTGAGGCAGAAGTCTTGTGGGGGGAACCCCTGAGAACTGGATATGCAGCTCCTCCTGCTGCTAAAAAAAATTGGTGCTGCTCCTACTAGAGCCTGACATCTCCTGGGAGAAGTTACAACCCCAGACACCACGGTCTCTGCCCAGCAGCAGAGCCAGCAGCCAGAGAGCCTGGCTAAAATCAGACAGGTACCAGCACCACACAGCCATCTGAACACTGGTTTCCATGCTGATTCTATCCACCTGTTTGTTTTAWATCTGGGCCTGTGGTGGTGCCTGCAGCTTGGAGCTGTTGTGTCTGTGCTCACCACGTCCCTGCTCTGGGTTGTTCCTTGAGCACAGAGCTGCAGGAGCCACGCTGCATGTTGAGGTGCTGCAGTCAAGAGAGACACATCCCCACCTC